CACAGAAGCCTGGGCCCATGTGGGAGCATGATGGCGTATCTCCCCACTTGACCTTCACAGATGAGTCCTAAAAGGTCAGGGGTGATCAGACTCAGGCTCTTTCTGGATCTTCTTCCTCTCCACATAAATCTGCATCTCTGGCTCGTGGCAATGAGGAGCAATATGGAGCCGTTATACTCATGTCATGACAGGACATTCAAGCAGAAGGCATGGGCTCCTCTCATCAGAATGAGCCCCAGATCCTCTTAGTGGCAGGATTCATTTCTTTTGAGAGAAATGAAATGCTCATGAATTGTTAAAGATGCCCGGTGACTGGCAGACCAAATTCTAAAACTGATGCACGGATCGCATCTTGTTCGGTTAGAATCCTGCTGGTGTGTACATTTGCATAAGGGTAACCCCATCAGGGTAATTGCAGAAATGCTTTCATACAAAGGAGGAGCAGGAACTGTTCCCGATCATCCCAAGGTGCAGGATATGCAACAAGGGGCTCAAGTTCCACGAAGCTAGATTTCGGTTGAATGTCAGGAAAAACTTCTTAACTGTTAGAGCAGTACGACAGTGGAACCTGTGACCTCGGGAGTTGGTGAGTGCTCCAATGCTGGAGGAATTCAAGAAAAACTTAGATAATCACCTGGCATATCTGCTTTGATTGCATTCCTGCCTTGAGCAGGGGGTTGGACTTGATGGCCTTTTAGACCCCTTCTGACTTCACTTTTCTACAATTCTATGCATTTTCCAGGTTGCCCACCTTGTGCCACATCTTCCTGTGGTCAGTCCAGTCAAATCTCCTGCACGATAAGGGCAGCCAGAAGATATGAAAAGTACCTCTGCTAATGTCTTGAAGAAGGTGGAACATTTCCAAGTGCTTTTGCACACTAACGTGTTTGCATCACACAATCCAGAAAGGAGCATGATGGGTAGTAAGAATCAAACCATCAGCTGCAGAGTTTAGAAAAGTTGCTTTTTCTGGACCACCCTACTCCTCCAGATGCCATTCTGGCTCAGGCATTCTGGGTGCTATCGTCTCCATGAATAACATTTCCAAACCCTGGTTAGGTCACAGCCGAGCCCGGGAGGCCACACACTGCATTCTGAAGCTCGCTAGGTCTTGCTAGAAGCACCTCTTGGCTGAGACCTTGCTAGTCCCCGTCGAGAGGAAGGTGAGGAGGAAATCCGAAGACCTGCTCAAACGGTGGCTTGCACGTGGTTTTATAACTTCTGTTTTGGCTATTTTTGACACACCATTGTGTAAAGTTTCTCCCCCAACTTCAGCTCCAAAAACAGAGTCCTCGGGCACACTGGCTCCCCATGGAGATGTGTCAGCTGCAAATACGTCAAGGGCAATAGGGGGCTGCGTGGCTTCAGTGGAGATCATCCACCCCAAAGCTAAAAGCCTCCCCCTGCTTGGGTTCAGCGGCTACTGCTGCCACCCACCCCATAACAGCTACATCTACGGTGCTCCCCCTTGGTCTTTCCGTTGAGGGTAATTTCCTCCGGTTGAGAACTTACCTCTCTGACACTGGATCTGTCTCACTGCATGGATTGTCCATGGCTAAGCTTCGCTACATGGCATGGAGATATCATGATGATAGGTGCCCCCCCCTGCAAAGAAACACACCCCTGCTTGCTAGCTGCTCTGACACCCTCGAAACAAGGAAAGCCCCTATTTAGGCTAGAGCTTTCATGACTTCTTTGACAGCGGCTCCCAGAATCCCCTAGGCCACCTTCTGAGGTGGATTCTGGGTGCTGTCGTAAAATAATAATTATTATTCCAAGCTCAAGGCACTAGTTTCATCTATAGAGCCAGCACTGAAAATCACCATAGAGGAAAGGGCAGGGTCACCAGCTCAAGATTTTTTTTGCTGCCTGAGGCAAGGGACAAGAGCAAACAGATACAGTAATTCCACATACAGAAAGCAACTGAATTGCTTTTTGCTGCCTGAGGCAAGGGACAATAGCAAACAGATAATTCCACATACAGAAAGCAACTGAATTGATGGTTGACTCTTCTTTCAGCACTTGAGACAGGGCACAATTCCCCTTGATATCTGATGGCATCTAGCAAGCTTAGGAGATGCGGGAGGGACAAGTGCATACAACACAACTTGGTCCTCAGTACGTTGATGCCCACTCCTCTCTTCTTTGCACTTTCTGCCGGAGGTGACCCTCCCTGTTGTCCTGATGGTAGGACTAGCCCTGGCCGAGAGGGTCACCTCCATACAACCCAGGCCAAACAAATTTGTGCTGGGCTTGCATAGCCCAAAATGATCATTACTGTAGATTTGAAAGGGCTTCTTTACAAAAAAAACCTTTACAAAAAAAAATACCTCTGCAAAACCACGCCAGACATCTGAAACCTGAAGTAGGAGTAAACAGGGCCGGGCGGTTTCCTGGAATGATTCTTATCTCCCCAAAGTTGAGGGTGGAAGAGTCGGTCCAGCTCCTACCTTGGCAAGTCAGAGGCTGGCCCTCCAGGTTGGCTGCTCCCTACCAAGTTTATTGCTTTGTAGCATTTCTGTGTGATGACAGACCGAGACAGCATCTTAAAAAGCAGAGACCTCACGTTGCCGACAAAGGTCCGAATAGTCACAGCTATGGGTTTTCCAGTGGCCATGTATGGAAGTGAGAGCAGGAACATAAAGAAAGCTAACCGCCAAAGAACTGATGCTTTTGAATTGTGGTGCTGGAGGAGGCTCTTGAGAGTCCCCTGGACTGCAAGGAGAACAAACCTATCCATTCTGAAGGAAATCAACCCTGAGTACTCACTGGAAGCTTAGGCTCCAATACTTTGGCCATCTCATGAGAAGAGAAAAGACCCTGATGTTGGGAAAGTGTGAAGGCAAGAGGAGAAGGGGATGACAGAGGACGAGATGGTTGGACAGTGTCACTGAAGCGACCAACATGAATTTGACCCAACTCTGAGAGGCAGTGGAAGACAGGAGGACCTGGTGTGCTCTGGTCCATGGGGTCACGAAGAGTCGGACACGACTTTACAACTAAACAACAAGCATTTCTGTACTGCTTTAATGCAATAGAATCTTGCTGTGGTTTGTGTTAAAAGGCATATTCCTGTTGTTGCTGTTTCAGATGCTTGCCTGCAAGTGTGCTGGCTTTGAGCGGGGAAGGAAGTGGCCTGGAAGCTCTGACCAGTAAGATACCTCCTTACTGGTGTGGCCAGTTGTCTCTCCTTTCGTACTAGAAGGGAAAGCAGAATGGCTCATCTGTGGTGTTTTCTTTCATTCTTTAATCTTGCTTTTGCAGCAGGGTTGAACTCCCGCAGCGTGTGCCTCCAGGTGACATCCTGTCCGGAGAGCCAGCGACACCAACGCAGCCAGGTGCAAGAACCAGACAGTCTGTAGGCTGCATATTATCCGATAGAAATGGATAGCAGTTGTGTGAGCAGAGAGCAGCAGAGCTAGCAGTCACGGTAAAGGAAAAGGAAACGTTTATTATTTCCCAATAAACTATTATTCCAGCAAACATCTTTGGTGTCTGAGCCCATCATTACCTCCAAATCTTCTGTTCTAGAGACCGAAGCAAAATAGATTCCAAGGGCAGGAATGATCTTGCTTGTCGCATCACCGTAAGGGGGAGCCACAAACGATTTTTTTTTTTCATTTCTACGACTGTCAAAACTCTTTTAAATTTTTCCAGACTCATGTTTTGATGTGCCAATTCCATCCTCCTGCTGCCTTCTGTTAGTCTTCCCAGTTTTTACTCTCGCTGCATTATTCTGACCGTTCAAAAATGAGTCTGTGTCCATTTTAACGGTATACTGCTTGGAGTTCATTTGATGTAGAATAAAAATAGATAGATAGAAAGGGACACAAATAAACCGATCTTGTTAAGCTTGGCGGCTGCTAATTCTGAGAAAAGATGTTTACCAAGGCATCTGGAACTCCCTGTAGATAGAAAGGGACACAAATAAACCGGTCTTGTTAAGCTTGGCGGCTGCTGATTCTGAGAAAAGATTTATTTATTTATTTATTTTATTTATTTAATTTATATGCCGCCCACTCTACCCAAAGGTCTCTGGGCAGCTTACAACAACAGATGTTTACCAAGGCATCTGGAACTCCCTGCCACTGGAGGCCAGTGTTTGCTGTCCTTCCGCAAGCAGACAAAAAGACCTTTCTCTCCAGTCAAGCTTTTCCTCAGTAACCAGGTACCCGTGTGTGAATTTTAGATAGATTGTTATGCAAGTACCTGTGTATGAATTTTAGATAGATTGTTATGCCTTACCGCTCTGACTGCATTTTTCATACTGCTTGTTTACCATTTTTCAGAATAGCATTTGTTCCTTTTTAATATTTCTGTACTTAGTGCTTTTAGTTTTAAATGTGGTCTTTTAATGATGTAAACTGCCTCTTTGTACTCATCCTTTTTATCTTTACATGTCGTCTTTTAAGGATGTAAGCCACTTTTGTATAAATGTTTCTAGCCTTAAATAATGTCAATCCGTGCCGTAAGCAGCTTGACTCCTTTTTTAAAGGAGAAAGGCGGGGTAAATTTTTTTTAAATAAATAAATAAAATTCGTTACTGACAATATTTTCTGCAGGTTGAAAAAATAGGTCCATATTCTCTGTCCTGCCCTGAACCACACAACCATCTTCGCTTACAACTTTAAACAGCTAACTGTGGCGTACAGATTTACTGTGCTCAACTCTTCCTCACTCGTTCAGCCCCATTTCTGGATCTGGTCACATTCCCTGACCCCTCGCAGGGAGCCGTTACACCTTTGAAGGTCAGCGTCCGAGAATATCATTTAAAACAAAACCCCATAATCTTGCATCTCGTCCCACTATCAGCCTCCGTGGAGTGCCGGCTGGGTGGAAAAAATCTGTGCTTTGTTCTGCGGCCCTTTGTGGTATTTTTAGAACCGTTGGCACTAGGGAGGTGGAAATAGGATGGCCGAGACCCCGAAAGGGAGGAAAGGCACAGTACATAAAGAGACTCCTGCCAGCCTCTTTGGCTCGCCTGACCTTAGCAGCAGCAGCGCGCATGGAAATGGGACAGGCGTAAGGAGTGACCTCTTCCATCAGGCAAAGGGTCTGTGCAGACAAATCTTTTTTATGCAACGGAGGCAGAGGGAGAAACCCCTGTGGCATCGGAGCAGGCATTCGGAGGTAAGGCAGTGTAGTGTTTTCTTAATCTAGGCAAATTTCGAAGCCCTCTTCTCTCTCTCTGAGGTGGAGGAATTTCTGGACATGTGCAACAGAATGTACGAGTGCTATTTCATTTTGCAATGATCAACTGATTGATGGATTGGACGACAGCTCTCATAATCAGTCTTCCAGCTTTACGTTTACCACGAAACCTGCTGACCTCAAGCTGGTCCCACAAATTTGTGCCCTCTCTTTTGGAATGTAACTTTGACAACAGATCCTGAATCTTCCATTTTTCTTTCCTGCAGCCTAGCCCACAAATCCTGCAATGCCCAGACTACTTGGAAAAGAGTCTTGCAAGATTAAAATCTCTCTCTCTCTCAATCTTTCTCTCTGTGATATTTTAATGGTACATAAGGCCAGATTTAGACATACTGTATCAGGGAAAAAATGTCTTAACTGTTAGAGCACTCTGTGATATTTTAGTGGTATATAAAGCCAGATTTAGACATATCAGGAAAAAAACGTCTTAACTGTTAGAGCAGTACAATGATGGAACCAATTACCTCAGGTTGTGGGGAGTGCTCCAATGCTGGAGGCATTCAAAACTGAGGAAAACCATCTGTCCGATCGGCTTTGATTTGGATTCCTGCACTCAGCAGGGGGTGAGACTTGATGGCCTTTGAGGGCCCCTTCCAACTCCATGATTCTATGTTAAAGGCATAACTCAACCTTTGATTTGGAATGTATTTTGGAACTACACCATCGTCTCCCCTTTTGCCTAGTGTGCTCAATGCAGGGCTATGTCTGGCCCTCCCTCTCCCACCTTTATCCTCACAACAGACCTGTGAGGTAGGCTAGATCGGCAGAGAAAGTGTCAGGGCCAAGATCATGCCATGATTTACGCAGATCACTGGGGATTCCCCCAGCAATATAAGGATTATATTGCTGGGGTAATCATACAGAGGAGGGGCAGGATCTGTTCTCGATCATCCAGAGCGCAGGACACGTAATAATAGATTTAAATTACAGGAAGCCAGATTAAGACTGAATATCAGGAAAAACCTTAACTGTTCGAGTAGTATGACCATGGAACTGATGACCTCATGGGGTGGTGGTGAATGCTCCAATGGTGGAAGCATTCAAGGGAAAACCGAATAACCATCTGTCAGATTTGCTTTGATTTAGATTCCTGCACTGAGCAGGGGGTTTCACCCGATGGCTTTAGAGGCTTCTTCTAACTCAATTAATCTCTAATTAAACTCAATTGATTCTATGCTGACCAACCTTATATAGAAGTTATAAGAACTTTCCTGATAATCAGTCCTCTGAAAATATGGAAGTCTTACAGAAATTGTAGTGCTAGAGTTAATTGTCTAGGAGATCCCTTTAAATGTATTTTATGCTTTTAACAAAACATAATTGAGCTTTTAATTTTTGGCAGAGTTTTCATTCCAGTTTTTTATTTGCTGCTCTTTGCTGGGTGTTACGCCTTGGCATTTTTCATCATCACCTCGTATCAAGGCATCTGGCCAAAAAGGTGGCACAAACATTTTATGTAAGAGGTGAGGATGCTATATTGTACATTTCATTCCTTCTGTGAAACAACTCAAGGCAATGTGTTTTGTGTTTGCAGAGAAGGTGCTTCATTCCACCCAGCCATTTCAACCATGTAGCTTGGATAAGTCACTTCTCTTTCCCCCAAACTCCCCCCCCTTCCAACCACCAGCAGCCACCTTCACTGGATTCTGGGAAGCCCAGTTCAAGAAAGAAAAAATGTCCACGTCCTGTTCGATATTTGCCCATCCACCGTGCATAAAAGCTTCACACGATGCTCCTGCCATGCGATGAAGCTTTGGCTCTATGTGTCTTCCTGTTTTATTCAGAGCAGGGATAGGTTCTGTACCGGCGTTACCCTGTTCTTCCTAAAAGTTCAGAAGAGAGCCAAGAAGCTTTCAGTAAACTGATAAGGTTAACCAGGTTTCCATTCCAGAGATAAGGGTGCAAGATTTACGCTGATGCTGTCTCACACCAGAACTTGGCGGGATGACTGTGCTTCTCCTTAAAGGCAGGAGAGACTGATGGATATTGTGGGTTTTTCGGGCTCTTTGGCCGTGTTCTGTGCTCTGGTGCAGCTTGTTTGGATAGTTGAGTATTTATAGCTGTGGGGTCAGCTTTTGTCCTGTTCAGGAGATTGGGTGATTATGGTGATCAGCGTGTTTTTTGTTGTGGGTGTATTATTGTGATAAGGGGGAGAGATGATCTGTCACTGTGATTGGTGGGTGTCATTAGCTGGTCTTTTGTGTGTAGTGATCACATATCCTTGTGGCTGGGTAGAGTTCGTTGACTTTCTGCAGGCTGTATTTTTCAGTGCTGGGAGCCAAGCTTTGTTGAGTTTTAAACTTTCTTTGTTTGTTGTTGTTGAAGCTCTGCTGCTGTTTGTGGCTTTCAATGGCTTCCTTGTTCAGTCTAACATAAGGATTGCTGATGTTGTCCAGTACTTTAGTATTTCGGAATAGAATTTCATGTCCAGCTTGTTTTAGGGCATGTTCAGCTACTGCCGATTTTTCCAGTTGTTTTAGTCTGCAGTGTCTCTCATGTTCTTTGATTCTGGTGTGGATGCTGCATTTTGTGGTTCCAATATACACCTGGTCACAACTGCAAGGTATCCAATATACTCCTGCAGTGGTGAGGGCGTCCCTTTTGTCCTTTGCTGATCGTAACATTTGTTGTATTTTTGTGGTGGGCCTGAATACTGTTTGTAGGTTGTGTTTTTTCAGAAGTTTCCCCATGCAGTCTGTGACCCCTTTGATGTATGGCAGAAATACTTTATTTGTGGGTGTCTGTTTTTCCTCTTCAGTTTGGTGTTGTTTTCTTGGTTTGATGGCTCTTTTGATTTCATTCTTGGAATAGCCATTTGCCTGTAGGGCCCAATTCAGATGGTTGAGTTCAGTGCTGAGGAACTGAGCTTCACAGTTCCGATTTGCACGGTCTACCAGTATTTTGATTATGCCTCTTTTTTGGAAAATGGAAAATTCTCACCTATCCCTGTTTTTGGATGACCGTTTAGCTCTGAAAGAGGCAAAGGTAGGTGTGAACTACTCACACCTACAGGACATATGGGAATCCCATGGATCGTCACCCTTCCTCTGCAGCATCCTCTCTGTCCCCAAGTTAGTAGGGTTTTAGAAATGCTAAAGAAACGGAAAGTCAAATCACACACCTCATCTAGTTTGATCATTGATCGGCCGTTGATGCTACGTTCCATAGGAAGAGATTGAAAAGCAGAGTGAAAAGCCCCATCCATAAATAAAGGGGGGGGGGGAGAGCATCAAATTGATCATCTCACTCTTTTTAATATCAGTTCACCTGAAACAGCAAAGGCCCTTAGGGTGATGATGTCCATTTCAGTTAAGATAATGGTCCTCTTGTCCCCCTTTTGGTTTATCATTTTGCATTCTCCCCCAGCCTACCTCAGGAACGGGGTCCTACACCAGGGTCTTTCATCCCATAATTTGCAAAAATACAACAGAGTTAGAGAGAAGTATTTCATACATGCATGTGTGTAGGAACGTCCACATGAGCTTGTTTGTAAAGGCCAAACTATACACTACAAATATCTCAACAGAAGAGGGCATTCCTTAACTGCAGAGAAATCTGATTACAAAATCTGATTATAAACTCCAGGATTTTCACAAAGCCGGTGGTTTGCAAATTACTTTGCTTCCCTTTGCAATTGGCCATTGGGAGGGTGGATTTTTTAAAAATACAAAGTTGTGCCTGAATCACGTCTTTAGAATACTAATGGGTGACAGCAGGCTATCTGTGAGATACAGTTTTGCCACATTTGAGAAGGAGCAAATTACAGATAAGAAGACATAAGACATAAGAAATTTATTTGTCATTGCGCTCACAAGTGGGTGCAACGAAATGAGGTGCTCTTCCCCAAGGTAAAACTGGACAACACTACAAAAAAAAGTTAAAATATACACAACTTTCACCATCCAAATATAGATACCCCGTTTTCTCTCAGCAATTAAAATTCCACCAAAAACCTATGGCCCCGCATTTAAACTCAATACTGTTTGAGAAGGAGCAAAGTACAAATGGTAATATTAACAGACGTTCCCCGCTTTACACTGTCCCATTTCACCCTCAGTTGTCAAGAATGAAGCCAGAGGGCAAGCAGAACCAATCCTCCCGAAGTACCAAGGACCTCAAAATGTCCTTTCTGATCCCATCGTCCATCAACAACAACTTCTCCAGTAGATGCCCCGGCATAAATGAATTGGGATACACTCAGGGGCAACACCACAAGGGAGAAGTGACAACCTCAAGGGGAGAGGCCCTCTTGTCCACTACCGGGGAGACCCAAATGACAGATATTTGTAACGGCAACGCTCCCCAGGAAGGAAACCTTTCTGAGGATCTCCAGGGCTGGTCTGTGGGAAGCCCTTCGCAGAAACGTCTCGGAAGCCACAGCGGGAACAAGAGACGTGGACAATTCAGCCGGCAACCCAAAGACACCTTGCTTTCCAAAACGACCACAGAGAGCCCCCAAGCATTCCCATGTAATGATATATTTCTGTTTTGGGCAAAGAAAGTCGACGACAGCAAGAGCAAAGTTCCTTCAAGGGCTCTGGGATCTCAGAGGCCCCTCAAGAAGCGACCATGGACAGCCAGTTCTCGCTGTGGACTTTCCGAAGAGGGGAGGGAAGGCGTGAAGGGAAAAGGCTGGCCCCCTTCCCTCTGTCCTGAAATGAAAGAGAGGAAAACACGACGAGAGCTTTTCCCTGACTCGGAGGTTTTCAGGCAGCTCGATGCCCACGTTCTTCATGTCAGTGAGCAGGTGGGTGTGATGATGAATAATAATGGTATCCAGAAAGTCTAAAAGGGACCCTTCTGACTTGAGCTGCAGGTGGCCTTCCATTTGCAGAAGAATGGATTCAAGCTTTTCAGCGGAGACGTTAAAAGCACACCAACTGAATTCGATCAACGTGGGTGTTCACCGAAGCTGTTCGCTTAAGCTGACCAGTGATAACAACAATTTGCCTTTAAGGCTTGCTTTGGGGCTTACCAAGGAAGCCCCCTTGAACCCAGACACCCTGTAGGGCTACCTGAGCCTAGAACCATCAACTCTGATGGGAAATGATGGCTGTCCATGGTTTTAGGTGTGGTTCTTTGCTATCTCTCTCCGGAGAATCCCGTGTTCCCTAATGGTCACCCATCCAAACACAGATCAACCTTGAGCCTGCTTAGCATGTGAAATCCGTCAAGCGCAATACACTGAGGATGGGGGGCAGAGATAGAATCTGGTTGGTGTCCACTTTGATATCTTTCTCAGATGTTTGATTTAATGATCTACTGCCCAATTTTCCACATGGTTCTAGGCTGAGATTTCCTCAACCTGGGGCCATTGTATTGGGTTACTATTCCCATCATCCTCACCTAGTATGGGCATGATGGGATCTATAGGCTGGCATATTTGAAGGGATCCAGGTTTGGGAATATTGATAAGAGTGCTTTCAACCAGAGCGTTGAAAATATACGTTTGGGATTACAGAGGCCAGAATGGCTGAAGGATTCTGGGATATGTAGTTCAACAAACATCTCCCAGGCTCTGCTCTGAACAGATGCTCAGCAACTGGGACTTCCAAAGAGGAAGACAGGTGAATTGCACCCACGCCCAACCTCCGTAACCCGGCTCTTCTTCCTTTGACAGCTAAACCCCAAACGGGGACCATTGTCCACGGAGGCTCTTGTACCATTGATTACTGAAGGGGCCAGAAGCCAGCTGGAGAGAGTGCGAGCCATATGGGTGTGGTTGTGCCACAATATCGGTAAGTGTGTTTTTGTGGTTTTTTTTAAAATTGCTTTAAATTTAAAAAAATAATAACAAATAATAATTAAAAATAATTATTAAAAAATTTATTTTTAATTATTATTTTTTAAAAAAATTAAATTAAACTGTGTTTTAAAGCAATTCAATTGC